CTGGATAAGGAAACGTTGTTTTGGATAATTAAAAAGGAGATAACTTCACCACTTGTCCACCTAACAGAATGTTTGCATATGCATATTTCAAATCACAGAAAGCAGGCAGGATATGTATGAGTAGCTGAAGTGTTTGAGAGTGATGAGTGGTGAAATCTGGTTTCTTAAGCACGAAATATCATTGGAGCAGTTGGAGTTGAGGTATGAGATGATGTCTGCATTTCTTATCTGTTTCTGCTCCACCACAGCAACAAGACAAATGCGTTCTGTCATGCTCCATACCCCACTGATCTTTGATGCTCTCCGAAAACAGTGTCATGCATTCTCTGACTCTGGTGTTGGGGCCTCCTAACTTGTTTAGCGTTATGATCGATAAATCATAAACAAAATTTGTGTGCTTGGTGTGAACCCAAAAACAGGCCCCTTTTCCATGAAAACAAATATGAAACAACGGATATTTGCGAAATCAGCTTCTTGTCTTCTTCTTCTTCTTAAATTGTTGTCCGTAATTTAGATTAATTCCTCACTCTAATTGTTTTTTTATATACAGAAAAAATCAATTTTATTGATACTAACTAATCAGCATACATTTTTATTATAATTCTCATAAAACTCGAAACAAAGATTAATAGGGAAACCAAGATTACAATCCAATATTGAAGCTTCTCTCTAACAAGAGATTCAATAATTCCATGACTTGAAATCTAAACATAATTGTAAATTTGCTCCTCAATCCACCGTAAGTTCTTGAACAAACTTGTAGATGTAAATAAAAATAAAAAAAAATCTCAGTGATTGAGGGTGAAAAACTAAATTACATAGATTTAAATTCATAATTATTTGAATTCTTGAAACTGGATTTGGAGGTTATTAATTAGAAAGAAAGAGGAAACGGAAGAGAAAGACGGATTTCTACTATTGCCGCCATGAAAATAAAAAAGAAAAAAAGAGTGAGAAGAGGGAGGCTTGAATAACAAATGGCTGAGAGTGAGAGAGCATCCTTGCCTTCTACGTTAATTCGAGAACCATCTTTTTCTGTAAATTTTAGATCAGTACCAAGAAAAAGAAGCTGTTGGGGCAGCTGATGTTGGGATGAGCCATGGCCATTTTTTGTGCTCTCAGTTAGCTATTGTTTTGGAAGTACTGCTCAAATGTGGGGTTGCAAAAATTAAAAAAAAACTGTTTAACATTATTTTTTTACTTTTAGATTGTTTTGATGATAAATAAATTTTATAAAATAAAAAATATTATTTTAATATCTTTCTAAAAAAACATTTTAAAACACAAATTTAATTAAAAAAAAATGAGCTTTTGAGTCATTCCTGTGAATTCTTCTATATTGTGTGCTGAGAGTGAGTTTTTATGAAAATGAGTTGATGAGACTAATAGCATTAATTTAAAAAAAAAAAAACTAAAACACCGTAGTATATATATTATTATAGATTAATTAATAGTAAAATTACTATTTTATTTTTTAAAAATTAAATTATGAACTTTTTGATTTTTTAAAACTTTGATTGAACAGTGAAATAATTACATTGCTTATAAAAGCAAAAAAAAATAAAATTGATGTGTAGGGTTTTTTTTTTGTTTTTTTATCATGTTTTTACTTATAAATAAAGGACAATTTTATTTTTTTATAAATATAAAAATAATTTTAAAAAATAAAAATAGTAAACATGTGTTATACACATGCCAACAAATGGGAGGCACTTGTGCAATCTGAATGGTGGTTGCTGCATTTCCGAGTAGTCAAACATTGTCATTCATTATGATGTTGGAACCGTCGTGTTATTCTATTCCTAGTGGCCAAGCGTGTATGTATGTATGGCAGAGAAACGATTAGGCTTTGGTAGGCTTTTATTCTTCTTTTCTCTATCCTTGCCTCAAATTTTATGACGACCTTTTTAGAATTTAAATATTTTTATTTGTATCAATTTAATCTTTATTATTTTATTATTATTTATTTATTTTTATATTTTTTAATATTTTTTTTAATTTCATCTCTTAACATTTTATTTTATTTTATTATTTGATTCTCATTTTTTTATTGCTATTTTTTATTATTTTCTTGATACTTTTTAATTTTCTTCCTCAATATTTTATGTTATATAATTTTTTATCTAATTTAGTTCTTATTTTTTTTATGGCTATTTTTTTATCCTTTTCCTTGATTTATTTTATATTTCAATTTAGCATTTCTTATTTTCTTTCATTTAATTTTTATATCAAATTTGATCATTATTGTTTTGATTGCTATTTTTTTTTTGAATGATTAGGAATTTTGTTTCGTAATCTTTTATTATTCTTCTTGTATTAGATAATCTTGATTTTATAACTCGAATCGTAAGTTTCAAATATTAAATTGATTTCTCTTTGGTCTTTTTTTTAAATTATTTTTTTTTAGTTTTATTCTTCGACATTATGTTATTAGATTTTGAGTTTCATAATTTTTTATATTTTTTTATGTGAGGTTATCTCAATCTTATATTTCGGGTCGTGTATTAATCGAGTTGATTTTTTTATATGTTTTTTATATTAATTTTTCTTTTTAGTTTTATCTTTTATTATTAAATTTTTAAAAAAATTAACCTCCATTGTTTGGTTTCATAATCAATTAATAGGGCTGGTTTGAGAATTGAGATGATGGAGAAGATGTAACAAAATTACGTTAGAAAAAAATGATCTGGACTGAAAAATAAAATTAGAGTTGTAAAACATAAAGAAAAATAATTTAAAATCCAAAAATAAACAATAAATATGAAAAAACAATTCTAGAAAAAACAATAAAACTACTAATTTCAAGAGATCTAATGGTACAACAGGTAAAAGGTAATAAGATGCTTGTTATAAGATAACTAATTGTAGAATTACTTCAAAAAACGTCAAGAATGATCTAATCGCCCATTTAAATCACTATTGACAGGAGCTTGCCTTCTTTTAAATCTAAACATGTTTTAGAACACTGTGTGCGAATAATAAAGTCGAAAGCAGAGTTTTCAATGAGATCTTCTCGACAATGAAGAAATCCTCTGATATAGAAAATAGAAAAACTAAAAGTCCAAAAGGTGATTTGTGATAATAAAGTCCAAAGCAACGTTTTCAATAAAGTATCATACATTACATTAAGCATAACAATATTGATAAAATAACTTAATAATTTTTTTTAAGACAATTAATTTGTTTCTCAAAACTGAAGAAACTAATTTATAATTCACTCGTCAATCTACACGCCCATTTTTTTTTTTTATATATATATATATATATATAGACACACACGTCTGGCCCCAGAAGAGAACGGGCCCCACGATTGAAAAACTCGAACAAAATGCCGAAAGCATGAGCTAGCCGTTACTAGAAGAAGCTCCCACAACCCGAGTCACCACAAGGAGGACAGCCCTTCCTGTTACTCTCCTAAGCAGCACACTAAAGAAAGATACACAAAGAGTTAACGGTGCAATCTCACAATTCTCTCTCGAAAAATGGCAGATTTTGGCTTCCTATCAGACACTGATGACTCGGCGGTAGACGAACTTGTATCTCAAACACAGGAACTCTGTGTCCTTGAACAAGTTTCTAAAATCAACTGTTCTGGTTTCACTGACTCGCTCCTTCCTACTGATTTAGAAACCCGTTTTCAAAAACTCAAATCCTTCCCTCCCACTAAATCTAAAACCCCAACTACCAGTAAATCTCTCTCAAGGTCTAACACTGATATGAACAACATCTCAGTGAAGGGTAAAAAAGATGATGATGGGTCCTTTTCTGATTCTGAAAAAGGAGAAAATTTTTCAAGCGAGGAGCAAAACCCAGGTGAGAAAATGGGATCTTCAAAGGGGCAAAATGAAGTTTCCTGGGACAACAAAGAAAACCCACAATGGAAATCGGGTTTAGAAAAGGAAATGAAAAGTGGCCGTGTTTCTCCTCCTCCTTCAAAATCGTCAATGGAAGAAGAGATGTTTTCTCCGAAGAAAGAAAACCCAGATGGGAAAGGGAGTTTAAAGAAGAAGTCTTTACACGGATCTGATCATTCTAACTCATGGGTGGAAGATGTGATTTTCTCACCATCCAAACAGAAACCGGAGAGGAAAATGAGTATGAAATCAAAATCAAAATTTGGGTCTTCCAATTCATCAAATTCATTCATGAATTCACCTTCTCCTCCTAGAAAAGTTGGCTGCTTTTGGTGTTCTCCTAAAAAGAAGCAAAGCAAGGAAAGTTTGGGTCTTGACTGGGAAAGCAATAATCTTGATGAGTACTTGTCTGATTTGAGTACCTTTTCAGTGAAAGAGCAGCAGAAAAGACTAAAGAAGGCAATGAAAGAGCAAGAGAAGATGAGTAGAGAGGCAGAGAAGATTGTGAAATGGGCAAAGCAGGCATCTGCGAGGATGAGTTTTCATGGCACTGATGATGTGCTAAGTGACGATGAGATTGCTAAATGAGTATGGATTTAATGATTTTGGTTTTGTTTCATGTTGTTATGCATGTGATGGAATTGTAGTAGTATATGTTTTTTTCCCTTCATATTGGCTTTTTACCCTAATACTAGTATAGTTTGGGCTTGAATTTTGTCTTGTAAAGGTTGATACAGTTATACAAAATCATCTGGCAATGGTACACAATAATAGGCTGGCAATGCCTTGAATATTTTGTTCTCTATGCATGTCATTTTGGGATTATTTTTTTATATGTTAATTGAAGTTCTTTTTCTTAATAAAATTATGAATAAAATTCCTCTCTTTCCATTAGCAGCGCAGAATTTCTCTTTTGGGAGCCAGGAGTGCAAAGTAATAAAACTAACTCTTTGATTGGAAGCTCCATGGACGTGAACTCTATAACAGGCTAATTCTTCCCCGGGATGGCACAGTGAATTTGAAATCAGATTATTTGGATTAACACAAAGAATTTGTTTTTACGGTTGCTGTCTTGAAAACCTTAGCATTGTACTAGTTTTCAAAAAAAAATTACTAGCCAGGTTGCAAAAATCCCGATACACGCTACCCAAAGATATTGGCACAATTACTTTCAAGGAAACACAAAACTTACAAGGCGATCTGTAAGAGACCAGCTCAAAACATAATTTCCCTAGTAAATAATGAGAATCTGGAAAGAAAAGCATAGCCCCCACAGTCATGTAAAGATAGGTAACCAGCTTTTTCAGGTTGCTGGTACATCAGGTCTGGCTGACTTGGTAAACATAAGAAAATATTTAGAAGCAGCAAGTAATACTAAGCTAAGAACACCAACTTTGACTGAAAGCATTGAATCCAACAAATTCCTTTTGCACTCAGTATTGGGTTTCCGATCAAATTCAATTGCGCCAGATCTCTTTTGTTTAGTCTTCATAAATGATGAATATCTTTCAACTTCAGCTCTTGTTAAAGCTGGTTTTAATGACTCCTTTACTCTCTGGAAATGACGATTGCATACGACATTGGCAGATATGTTTTCCCTCAGAGCTACAATACCAGCTTCCCGACAAAGGCCCTCCAGCTCAGCCCCGGTGAAGAGCTCAGAATCTTCTGCTATTCTTCTCAGGTCAACATCATTACTTATTTTCATTTTACGTGTGTGAACACCAAGTATCTCATATCGAGCCTCAAAATCAGGTGGTGGCACATATAGCACCTGCAGGTTCATATAAATGAAATTAAACAACATGTCATCTGCATAAAGAATGAATGGCTTTATTGTGATTTTGGCACCATCTCATGCAAAAGATCACAAGGTAATCAGGAATAGTGAGCTCATAACTATGATGTTAGGGGCATCTTCAAATATGCAGCAGACAAAAAGACAAACTACGGAAATGATTGTTAAACCATTTGCAAGGCCAGCAAAAAGGTGTAACAGGTACAAGATATGGAAAACTTTTAAACTTGCACTCCTCACCAAATCAAAGCGTCCAGGGCGCATAAGTGCAGCATCAATTGCATAAGGACGATTTGTGGCAGCCAGCACAAGAATTCCCTGATGGAATTAAGCAAATGTTTGAACCACAAAAAAAGAGTTAGATGTTATCTGTAACTCCTCACAACTATAGTTTCAAGATAAATGATAAACTCAATCATGTGACTGGCACCTACTTTAGACTGCTCTAAACCATCCATTTCAGTCAGTAACGTTGACAGAAGCCTCTCTCCTACAGTAGTGCTGTTACTTGAAGTCCCACCTCTGCCATTGAATGGAAGTGCTTTGAGAACCATTTTTTTACCAGTTGTTTTAAAAAATCAATCATAAGAACAACTGCATTACTCTGTACGTGTGAATGAAGAAAATGTTATGCATATTTCCACATGTGCCCATGATTGCATTTATTATACACCAACTTGAAGAAGCTCAATGAAATAATTACACACTTACCACAGAAAACATTTGCAGAAACAGTTTAAGAGAAACAATCATTTTTCAGCAGCAACATATAGGAAACCTCCATACTAACCTTTTTGCAGCAACAACATCAGCCTCGTCAAAGAATATTATGCTTGGTGCTGCAAGGCGAGCTCTCTGAAATGTATGGCGCAGCAATGCTTCCCCCTCTCCAACATACATTGAATAGAGTTCTGCACCACTGATTTATACTTTATGAGTTTTCAAGAAATATAAATCTTTGGTTCCCCTTCTTACCCTCTCTCTCTTTATAAATTCAGCATGGATTATCAACAAAAATCAGTTTTGAAACGGCCAGCTCTAATATCCCAGTTATCAAGTCTGTACACTAAAATCTGAATAATAAAGCTTTCAAAAAAAATCCTTTCTTCATGAAAAACACTTCAATTTTACGAGATATGAAAATGCAATACAATGATACCTCAAGGAAAAAAAGGAAGCTTGAGCAGCATTAGCTGCAGCTTTAGCAAGAGTGGTTTTTGAGCATCCTGGAGGTCCATGCAGAAGAACTCCACGAATTGGTGATATTCCCATCCTTGCAAATGCAGCAGAATGTTTGATAGGCCATTCAACAGCTTGTTGGAGCTTTTTCTAACAACATAGGAAGTATGGTTAACTTCTGCGTCAGTTTCAATACCAAATTGAAGTGCAGAGCTAACATATATAAAGTTGAGCATCCTTAAAGTCATCAGGAAAATTTTTTATACAAAATTAAGACATGGTTACAGACTTTTAAATCATGCAGTCCACCAATATCTTCCCAAGACACTTTGGGGATTTCCATTGTCACGCCTCTCGTTATGCTAGGGCCAACCACAGATTTAGCATGCTTCCAGTCATCCATCGTTAATTGCACACCAGCATCTTCACTTGTATCCAAAGAATTAAGAGCAGACATGGTAGCTTCACGACATAAAGCTTCCAAATCAGCCCCAACATATCCGTTACAAGATGCAGCTATAGCATGTAAGTTAACATTAGGATCCAAATGAAGCTTCCTTGTATAGAGCTGAGAACAATCAAGAAGAAAAAATCATGATAAAATCATGCCTCCACTGCCACATTACAAACCTTTTTCTAATCAACATTCCATCAAACAATAAGAGCCATGATCATACTTCTAGTAATAACATCAACTGGCAACTCAGATAGGCTGATATATGTTTCATAAAAATTGACTCTTACAATGCTCATAGATATTGAAAGATTTGTATGCTACCTTGAGAATTTGCAATCGCTCCTCTTCTGTAGGTGTAGTAACTTCTATTTCAGCATCAAAACGACCAGATCTTCTTAATGCAGGGTCAATTGCATCCACTCTTTATACAGAATATATATATATATATATATATATATATATATATTATTTAAGATCAAACAATGTGTGCAACACAGCCATAAAAAAAGGCTAACAAAAAGCTTCTGTGTAAGATTGATTCTACTTCATTTCAATAGAACAAAACCTCTAACATACAAAAAGCAACAAGCTAACCTATTAGTTGATGCAATCACAACAACTTGTGCTGAAGATGTAGATGAGGGCTTGTTGGCATCCATCAAAGCAAATAGTTGAGAGGCTACACGAACATCTTGCTCCCGTCTGCATTTGACGGCCTAATTTAAATATATGAATGGAGAAGTTTACCTCTTTATGTTCTTATCAAGACAACAGCAAGCCAAGAAAACAAACTAACACAAAAGGTACAACAAAGCAATTGTATAAATCTAAAGAACAGGTAAAGCTGCAGCAAAATCTAACCATCCTTTCTCCAATACCTTGAATCACGACGATGACACAAGGCATCAATTTCATCAATAAAAATAACTGATGGCTTGCCTGCCACAGCATGAGACAATGCATCAGAAAAAGCCTCACGTAGAACTCTCTCGCTTTCTCCAGCATGCGCTCTATGAACGAAATGTGGACTGCAAAAAAATTCTCACAAATCCCATCAAACTCAAGCCAAAAATTAAACGAATAAATAAATATAACTATTAATTCAGCAATACATAAAATCATTAGCCGGGAAATCACATTACCTAATGACAATTAAATGCGCCCCGCATTCGCGTACAACTGCTCGTACCAAACTTGTCTGCGGAAGAAAAAAAACAAGATAAATAGATAAATAAATTTAGAATCAAAGAGAACAATTTATTGGATTAATAAAATGATTAAAAGCTACTTACCTTTCCGGTTCCTGGTGGACCGTACAGAAGCAAACCTGATGGCCACTAGAATCAAAAACCAAATTAATTAATTAATTAACCTGAAATTAAATCTGTAGCATGATCATAATCAATCACAAAATGTAATTATTGAGTGAAATTAGGTTTTAGTTACTTTTAGACCGAGTTTCTGAGCTTCACGCGAGTATAGAAGAGGGAAAGTAATGAGCTCTCTTAAAGCTTCGAGAGCCGCTTTATTTCCACCAATTGCTTCTTCGGCTTTCCACTTGTTGTTTGAGTTTTCAGTTCCTTTGTTGACTTTTCCGCTGCTGCTGCTGCTGCTGCCGCCGCCGCCGCCGCCGCTGCAGCTGCTGGTGGGAGGTTCCATGAGAGAGGGAGAGCGATAGCAGAGAGAAAGTAGGGGTTTTTTAAGCGTCCTTGGTGCCAAAAGAAATTGATGATTAAGGTAGAGGTAAAGGCCTTATAAGTTTGTGTAGTTTTCAGCTTGATATCTAAAATGTATTGTTTTGTCAGTTTCGCCCTTTTAATTTTATTTTCCAGTGTAACTCCTCGAGTCCGGTCCTAATTTAAATGTGGTGAAATCTAGAAAATTTTGAGGACAACAAATTAAATAACACATCAGGAATTAATTAATTTTGAGATTGAGAAGAAATCTATTTCTCCTCTTGAGAAATTTGGTCATCCCAAGATACAGTGGATTAGTAACCTGCTTTTTTTATGATTTAATTTTTTTAATTTTTTTTTTTTGATATTTGGGAGTGAGTTTGCAGGTTTTTTGAAAAGTTTTTAAAAAATATATTAAATAAATATTTATTTTTAATAATTTCGATTTATTGATATTAAAAATATAAAACAATATATTTTTAAATAAAAAAATATTTTTAAAAATTACTGCACACCACAATATATCCAACACATTCTAGTTATTTGACATTGTATTTTTTATTAGATTTTAAATTTTGTTTTCATTTGATTTGTAGTGAATTATCATGTTTTTATATCCTTGCTATCTATTAATGATCAATTTCACGAAGAGAAAAAAAAGAGTTTTGATGCTCCGAAGATATTTTAATATAGTTTTGAAATTTGATGCAGCCTGGTGAGTCAATTTAGAGCTAGAATTAGGTCGGATTGAAAAAATTAAAGGAATAAAAAATTTAGTGTTACTTAGTTAAAAATTCAATTACAACATTTTGATTTTTTTATTAAAATAATATTATTTTCATTTTAAAAAATTAACTCGGATGACCTGATGATCTGGTTAAAACTGAGAATCTGATCAAATCTTAAAAATATGTATTTGAAGTTGGAAGAACAAAATTAAATAAAAAAGAAGAAGATGTATGATAAACGTTTTAAAAAATAGTTTCAATGGGCTTGAATATTGTCCAAAATTATTTTTATTCCTTTGAGCTTTATAGTTATATGTGTTGATGTAAAATTTTATTTTGTTTATATTATAGTTACTGAAATTAAAAGATGAGAAAAAAAATTTATTAAAAAATATAAATAAAAAAAATATTAGTGGACTGGATTTCAATGATAAAATTGACTAGATTCATTGTCAAGATATTCCTCTTGACAAAATGAATGTGATTGAGATGTTAGTGGAAAAAATAGACAGGGGTTGAGAGAGGTTTTATTCCTGAATTGATTTTGTGAGTTTTTTTTTTGTTTTTTTGTTTGAAAAATTATTTTTTTAAAATTACAAGGTATTTTAGGTAAAACTGAATTAAAATTAAGTTTTTTAGTAAAAATTTGACCTAAATTATTTTCTATGAAGTCATTGTAGTGGTTGGACAACTCCAGCAAATTACGCATGCTCTATTTATTTTTATTTTTTTTTCCAATTTAAAATCAGATTAATGAAACTTAAAATGTATTAGTTAATTAAACAGTGTGGCCTGTCCAGCCTTATGGCATTCAATTTCAATTGAAATTAATTAAAATAAGTCAATTATAAATATTTTTGTAAGACTTTTTAATAAAATATTGTTTAATTTTTATTTTATTTTCAAATAGAATTATAGAATTTTTTTTCTCATATCAACATGTGTTGTTTTTTTTTCAACCCTACATGATTTTTTTTTAATTTTATTCAAATTTTTCTGTAATTATCTATTTTTATTATTATTTAATTTAAAAAAAACCCTTTCACACCGTGGCTGGACTTAATGGTTTTGCAGAAGAAGGCGCATTCACAACTTATTACACTCTTGTCTCAAATTTTCCATAATTACGACTTGGTCGCAAACCCTCCTCTGCCCTGAAAGTTTAATTTTAAAAAAAATCTGCCCAGGCAGTCCTCTGCATTGATCCGTTCTTGGACATATCATTATAATTTTCATATAATTTTAATTTTAAATTTAAATTAGATAAAGAGTCACGTAAAATAAATTTCTAAATTAATTTATTATATCAAATTTAATATTAATATTAAATAATTCTTCTGATCTAAATTTTTCTATCACGTTAAAAAAAAATAATCAAACCCACAAGACAGCAGACATGTAATTAGCATACAATAGCAAGAAAACTAACCATCATTTCTAGAAATTGTCGTTTAATATTTCTCCTTTGAAAAGTTCATTTTCCGCCTCTACCCGTTTTCTAACGCGTCAAACAACCACCCGATCAGCAGAGCAGCCACCACGTGAATGTTCTCCGCCTAGCCAACCCAAGTCAAAACGGGTAAAAATATATTGGTAGGTTATTTTTATATTTTAAAAATATTTTAAAATATTTTATTTATTTTTAAATTAATATATATTTTATATATTTAAATTATCTTAACGTGTCGATGTTAAACATATTTTTTAAAAATAAAAAATTATTAACATATATTTTAATAAAAAACAACTATATTTTTATAAATTAATATAAATCAATATATCTCTTTTATATTGCGATGATTTTTACATTATATTTTTAAAAGAATAAACTTAATTTTTTTTTACTTGCTGCAGGAACAAAAGACCTTTCTAATTCTAAACTCTTGCCCGACAGACAGTTTCCACTTTCCCCCATTTATCTGTCCTCACCTTTCCCTTTCTCTTTCGGTGTTGCCTGTAAAGCTAACTACAAACAAATCAAAATTCTCTTTCCGGAAAAAAACTCACTTTCTTGCTTAATCGCCTCCTCGATTTGAGCAGCCTCTGGCGATTTAACTACAAACAAAGTTTGGTTTTGTAACTGTTTTAACTGCACAGAATAGAAGTTGTACAGTGAGTAGTTGATAGTTTTTCATTTACATGGAAGCCATAAAAAAGCAAGCTACCAGGCTTCGGGAGCAAGTTGCAAAGCAGCAACAGGTAATTAATTTGAGTTCAGATTCTCTTTTGCTGTTCTTTTTTTTTTTTTCAAATTTTGTGTTTGTTTGGTTGTTTGCAGGCAGTATTGAAGCATTTGGGACATTTTAGTAATGAAGGAATTATTGTTGACGAAGCAGAATTACAATGCTACCAGCATCTTCAAAATCTCTACAATTCAACCAGAGCTGCCAAGGTGCAGTTATTTATTTGATTTGGTTTGGTTTTCCATTTTTTATTGAGGCAAAATTTTGATTTTTTTTGGTGTTTTATTTCACTTTAAAATACCAGCATTTTCAGAAGAATATTGTTCGCGGTGCTGAAGGTTTTGTATCTATAAGTTCGAAGCAAATGGAAATATGTGAGTATGGATTTTGCTTTGCGACTACCTTGTTATGATTTGTTTTCTTTGAGGTTGATATGTGAGATTTTTGGCTTTGGGATTTTCTTAGTGCGAAAGTTGGCTGACGAGTGTTGTAAATACGGAGCTGAGAACCAGAGCGAGAATAATTATGTCGCAAGGACTGTTCTTCAGTTTGGTGCCTCGCATAATTTGATGGAAAATGAGAAGGAAATTTTGCTTGGGGTTCTTAATGATCAGGTAATTTTACTGCCAATTAGGAATAATCTCAATGCAAATTGAATGGTGGTAGTTTAGGAATACTTAAGCATATATTCATGCTAAAGTAAATGTGTTCCATTTATTATATATTCAGAGATCATTGCTTCTTTTGAAATTTTCTGCCAAGTTAAGATGTCATAAGTAATTGTAGTTCCTGCCTAGAATTAGTTACTCTGCATTGTACAAGTGACCATCCAGTTGTTATTTCATCAAGTGTGTTAAATGAAAGCATGAAGGAAAAAATTGCAAGATAGACAAATTGATATGATAGAAACAGATTATTGCTATTATTAGTTTTAAAGCCCTACATGTATATTGCCTAGAATTAATGATGGGTATCTTGGGATTTTTAGTGTAAGCTGTCATTTAAGAAAAAATAAGGTTTTCCCATCTCCTTTTATGTTCCTAATTGTGTTACAGGATTTCAATATTTAGGTTTCTAAGCCACTTCGGGCTTTAATAACTGGAGCTCCTTTGGAGGATGCTCGCCACTTGACTCACCGTTATGACAAACTCCGTCAAGAGGTTGAAGCCCAGGTAAGCTTTGGTGTCTCATGGGTGTAACAGTTGCAGGAATTGTGGTAGATTCATGGTGATATGTTATTGGCAGGGAGCAGAAGTATTGAGACGGCGGTCGAAAACCAGGGATTCTGAAATATCTGCAGAGAGTTGCATGAAGCTTCAAGCTGCAGAGGCAAGGTTGACTGAACTTAAATCTACAATGATGGCTCTTGGGAGAGAAGCAACTGCTGCCATGTCTTCAGTTGAAAATCAACAGCAAGAGATTACTGCTCAGCGGTTGTTTAGTATGGTATTGCATGCTTTTCTTCTTTCTTCCGTGTATGGGTGCATTTGGGTGCATGACTCTCTCTGCCTATGATGATCATTTGGCTTCCAGGACCACGATCTATAGTGTTTGACAACTTTGACCATCTAAACACCTGTTGTGAATGGAGTATAGCAATTCAACAGACTCTTAAAGAAGCATTCATGTGACTGGCGTAGCTAAAGCCAAAAACATTTTATCCATGTTCATGTTCGTTTTGGTTCAGTACTTTTCTCTTGTTGATATGTGACAACATAGGTGTCAAATGGGATAAAGAATTAGGGAAGTTTGGAGGCTTTGGGGAGGGATGTTACCTCATGTACTCCTTGCCTATTTGGGCAAAGGTATTCTTATGGTTCATCTCCCTTTTCAGCAAATTCAATTTGGCACTTGCTTCTGCATATCTCTCTTTGTAGCTAGCCATGTATCCTTCCTTTTACCGTTTCAAAATTTTTCTTGTCCTGATAGAGTTCCCCACCCATTTTCCTGGCATAAATATCTTGCTTAATTTCACGATTGCAAAGTTAAGAGGGGTTTACTGTATTTGAAATTTGTGCTGCTTTATCAAATTTGGTTTAGGTAAACATTATTTGTGTTCTGCACATTGATCTAAAAAAAATTCAAATCATTTT